TCAAGTGAAGAAGAAGATGAGGATGATGATGATGATGAACAAGAATCAAGTGATGATAATCAATCTTCCTCCTCCACCTCCGACCTTGATGAAGAATCAATCAAATTAATCAATAAGGTGGAGAAGATGATCCAAAAGCTCAATGTCAAGGGTGTGCCCATCCAAATCCAAGACCTCGTTTTCACCAATCAAAGAAACGAGCAAAGAAAGAGAGGATGCTACGGATGCGGCGAGATGGGGCACTTTGTGGAAGTTTGTCCAAACAAGCCCACACCCAAGACAAAGAAGAAGGCGTGCAAAAACAAAGCCCTCACAATAATAAGGTCATGGGATGATTCTTCAAGTGAAGAAGAAAACCATCACAAGAGGCAAGGTCACAAGCGCTCATCATCAAGCTCTTCTCGTGTGTGCCTTATGGCACGAGGTAACAAAAGCTCATCCTCTAGTGAGAGTGATAGTGATGATGATTTGCCTTCTTACAATACAATTGTGCAACAAAATCTTAAATATGCTAAAGTTTGCACTAGTCAACAAAAGAAGCTCAAAACTTTAAAAGAAGAACTAGGTAGTTCACAAGAAGCATACAAGAATTTGCTTGAACAATATGAAAACTTTGCAAATCTCAATGTTGAACTATCTACTAAAATTGAGCAACTTGAGGCTAGTGCAACAACAAGGGCATGCACAATTAATGATAAGCAACTTAAAAAGAAAAATGAAAAGTTAAAAGAAAAGTTAGCTATCTCTCAAAATGATTATCAAAGTTTGCGTGCTAAAATGGAAATCATGTGCAAACATTGTGATGAGCTAACTAATAAAGTTGCTAATCTTGAGGCCGTCAATTTAACCTCCACCAAGGCATCTAAAAGAAATGACATAATTAAAAAGGATGCCTCTACTTCTTGCAATGATTTATATTTAGACTCACCCTTGTGCAACCAAGCTTGTGTTGAGAAAGTGATTGTAGATACATGCACACAAGAGGTTGCAAAAGAGAATGAGCAACTCAAGCAAGAAGTAGCTCGCCTCACCAAGGACTTGACTCAAATGAAAGGCAAGGCAAAGCAAACCCAACTTCATCAAGATAACACCGTCAAGGGAGTGAAGAAGCTTGATGAAGGACAAACCGTGGTTTGCTACGTATGTCACAAAGAAGGCCACAAGTCCTATGAGTGCAAGGTGAAGAATGGGGGAGGAGCAAAGAAGAAGGAGAAAAAGCAAACAAGCAAGCTCTCCAACACCTACACCAACAAGGTGGACAAGAAGGCCTCCACACCTTATCTCTTGAAGAAGAAGAAAAATGACAAGGTGGTGGCCATCAAGGTGAACAAGCAAGCAAACAATGGGGTCAAACGCTTTTGGGTGCCAAAGGAAATCATTTCCAACATGAAGAGCACCAAGAAGGTTTGGATCCCGAAAGGGAAGTAAGAAGTCCGTCGGTCGGCGGGGAATTTGGAGTCTTGGCATAGTATGGGTGCATTTCATGGGGTGCGTCATGATGGACAAAATCATTGCCAAGTGGGTTAGTAAATACTATGGACCCAAATTCCCCTTCCCATGTTAGGTAACTAGTTTTAATTTACTTCAATTGATATTAGATTTAAAATTTTCCTACAATTGGTACCTTTTAGCATCTAGTTACTCTTCATACCTATGTTTGCATTTGAATTCTTATATCTTTTGTCATGCATACACTAGGTATATCATATGGTAGGCTTGCTCGGTTTCATTCTTAACCCTTGGAGCAAACCTACATGGTTTAAAATTGCTTAGGAGCACGGCACATAGCTTGTCTTACTATTGTTTATCTAATATGTGCCAAAGTCCAAATTGTAGATAATTTTCTCCCAAATATCATCTTTCAAGTGGTATTTTGACTCCAAAATCAATTGTGCATGAGTACTTCAAGTATTCCATGTCTCCATGCACAAATTTAGGGGGAGGATCATCTACAAGATGGACGTTTTGAGACTAACACCTTTTTCAAGTTTATCATGTGTGTAGTGGTCTCATTGCAAGGAAAATGGAGTCTCCGAAGAGAAGCATCGTTCTTCAATTGGCATCATCATGTTGATTTCATTTCATATTTATATGCTTTCTCCATGCATTATATAGATTAAACTCTCTTGTGCAACAAATTGCTAATTATGCATATGCTTTGCTTTCTACCATATGTATGCATATATTTAGGGGGAGCTTAATCTATATAATGCGAGAGTCAAATTTTGTGATCCATTTCTCTCTATACACAAAGGATCATGAAATTTGACCCTCCCTTGTGCTACTAATGTCTTCCTTTTTAGTGTTTGATGCCAAAGGGGGAGAATTTGAAGGACCAAAAGCAAGCATCAAGTTGATGTCTACAAGTGGTAATGGTCCGAGAAAGGGAGGAAAGTGAATTATGGATTAGTCTATGTAATGGGAGAATTTTTTTTAGAAAGATAGGCTCTAATCCATAATATCACATGAGGACATTTGCAAGGGCAAGACATGCTTTTGAGTAAAGTTTTAATTGGTATCTATCAATTAGTATCATATAACCTTGCCCTTTGCATTGCATCCTAGCAAGTAAGAAAGGGAGGAAAGTGAATTATGGATTAGTCTATGTAATGGGAGAATTTTTTTTAGAAAGATAGGCTCTAATCTATAATATCACATGAGGACATTTGCAAGGGCAAGACATGCTTTTGAGTAAAGTTTTAATTGGTATCTATCAATTAGTATCATATAACCTTGCCCTTTGCATTGCATCCTAGCAAGTAGATAATTTTTAAATTTAAAATTTTTTATCATTTGCTTGCTTTGGTCGTGTTGTCATCAATCACCAAAAAGGGGGAGATTGTAAGGAAAATGGACCCTTAGCCCATTTACTTTGGATTTTGGTGTTTGATGACCAACACAACCAAATTAGACTAATGAATTTGCAAGTGTTTGTTTTGTAGTCCAATAGGGTGCAAGACGTGACTTGGACGAAGGCGACGTGATGATACGATGATCAACACCTCAAGCAAGACCTTAGAAGCACAAGAAAAGACCCAAGATGTCAAGCAAAGTCCAAGCATGAAGATAGGAACCAAGCCGTGCACAAGATCACAAAGAAACGAGTCATCAGAGGCGGCCGACGCCTGACCGGACGGACCGGAAGCGCCTTGACCGACGCTGGACCGGTGGCTCGGAAGACAAAGCGACCGGACACAAGGACCGGACATCGGCGGAACCGATCGGACGCAGGAACACAAAGTCCGATCGAAAGTCTGAAGAGGTTCCAGCGCTGCTGAATCGGGACGGACGCGTCCGGTGGCAGGCGACCGGACGCTGGCAGCGTCCGATCGGTAGTTCGCGGCTACAACGGTCGGGACGACCGGACGCGTCCGGTCAGGACGATTCAGCGTCCGGTCAGTAGCAGAATTGCGGGAGTTCGACCCCAACGGCTACTTTCTCAGTGGGGCTTATAAATACAACCCCCAACCGGCCATTTGAAGCGTGTGGAGCTGAGGAAACATACCAAGGGTGTTGATACACCATTTTAGTGATCTCCACTTGCTAAGTGCTTAGTGTTTCATTAGGTGATTAACGTAGGTGCTTTGCGAAGTGCTTAGGTTGATTAGACCACCGCTTATGCGCTTGCTCTAGGTGTATGCCTAGTGTTTAGTGAGGTTTGCATACCTCTTGCCATCCCGTGCTTGCGAGCATAAGAGTTGTACATCGGAGGGGATTGAAGTCTTGCGAGATCGCACCAACCGCGTTTGTGGTGCGGCCGCCACCGTGTACCAAAGGGAACAAGGCCCGCGGCGTTTCGGCCGAAAGCTTGATAGTGAAGACGGCGGGGAGCATCCGGGAGAGACTTGCCGAAAGGCACATCGGAGACCCACTTGCGTGTGGGGAAGTCCCGAGGCTATCCACGGAGTTACCCGACTGGGAGCTTGACCCTTGCGAGGGATTCCTTGCGAGGGGCTCCAACGAGGACTAGGGGGAAGCTTGCGCGCTTCTCGATACCTCGGTAAAAATACCGGAGTCGTCGACGGGAGTTTGCATATCTCTACCTTACTCTTTAAGCTTCCGCATTTACATTGATCATATTATTATAATTTGCGGTAGAGATAGCAACAAACTAGCAAAACCGTGTTTGAACATCTAGATAGATTATCTTTTGTATAGGTTTTGCTAGAGGTAGAAAAAGAGGCCATAGTTTAGAGTTAGATTTTTAAGTTGCCTAATTCACCCCCCCCTCTTAGGCGTCCGCGTGTCCTACACTAGCTACCAGAGGTCTTCTTCGCATAGAACAATGCGACAGCCGCCAGCTGTTCACGGCCATGGTTGTGTGTGACACACACACTTGAACTAGCAAGGCTACACGCAGACCGAACAACACAGGCTTGGTGCGGTTCACATAACTTCTCGCGTGGCACTTTTGAACCCAATGAGTCTTAGTCTAGGGCCAAGCGTTAAGACACGCAGATGCCACCATATTAAAGTCTCCCCTCCTTACTTAGGGTTGACACCATCGACAACTTATCGCGATCATAGCAGACAAATATCCAAGATTTCCCTTGAGTTGTACAGCCATGTCATGTCCCCTCAATGAGCCACCACAATATGTAGTAAGGGTACAGGTTCTAAATACCATATGTAACACCTTGTTCAAAATCTACATATGGCCATGCTCCCACATGGAATGAGCCAACATACTCACAACATCTCTCTTACACTTTTGTCCTCATTTTATATAAAAATGTTATATGGATATGCTATGTTTGGAATAACAATGATTAAAGCTAGGCGAAACTATTTATACAACCAATTCAGTAATAATTAGATCAAAATAGAAAACAACACATGGGTCATGACGTGTGGAAACAAGAATACTAATGAGCTAGTTTATTATAAGATGTTAGCCCTATGTAATCAACTGTTTTATGTAAATTTCTTGTCAATTGATTGAAATTGAAGTAAGAGTAAGAAAAATTGAAATGTAGTATTGTTATGCAAGATAAACACACCTTCGGTGACATTGAATGTTGAAAGAAAGACAGTCCAAGGAGCTGCACAATATATTTTTCACAGAGCTGCATACTGGAGAGTAATTTTGTTGGTTTGATAAAATCCAAAGAAATCCATTGGTAAATCAGATCATTTTTTACTATCTTGTGACCTTTTGGAAAGATTCCACAGTAGGTAAAGCATGGCTTCAAGCATAGATCCATATAGCTATAACTTAACATCAAAGATGCAAGAACATGATTTGGCAAAGATATATCCTTTGAAATAGTTTCGTTCCAGATATCACTGTCTTTCACTCTCTTCCATTGATCAAAATTCATGGACAACAAAGTGAAGCCAAGAGATCGAGCTGCTAAAGGCACACCACTGCACTTCTGGGCGATCTCGTGTCCTACACTCATCAGTTGTTCTTTGTCACCTCTAGATTCAAAACCACTTCTTTGTTTTATTATATCCCAGCACATTTCATCTGTTAGGGGCAATATCTTGTATGGTTCAAGGTTAGTACAGATTCTCTCTGCAACACGTTCGCTACGTGTTGTTACTAAAATAATTATTTCACTATCATCATGATATAGCATATCCTTCAACTTCTGTAGTTGGAACTGATTATCCTCCCACAAGTCATCCAAAACAATCAGAATCTTCTTACCAGAAAGTAGCTTTCTGAGGCAAGCATCCCTCATTTTTATTTCATTAGCTTGGATCTCTTTTTCAAATAGCTGTGAAATTATAGACTCATGGATTTTATTTAAGTCAAATCTCTGGGACACATCGACCCATACCTGAGAATAACAATTGAACTCTGGGTCATTGTAAATCAATCTTGCAAAAGTGGTCTTGCCAATGCCTCCAATACCATGTATTGGAAGGATGATGAACCGTTTTGGCATGCCCTTCAGTAAAGAAGCCACTATTGTCCCCTTTTCCTCTGTCCTGCCCACAATTAGTTCTTCTAGTACATCAGATGATGTTTCTAGTGCACTGGCAAATTCCAGGTCATTGGATCTAGGGCCCAACATAAAATCAATGTTCTGCTGCAGACCTGTGGTAGCTATTGCTTCCTTTCTCATCTTTATCTTGCTATTTTGCATTGTCATGCAACCTTCATTCTGGGGAAGCTGCAGGATTTCAGGTGATTTGTGAACAAACCAGACAATTCAATTAGTAAGTTTAGTATTCTTAGTCAATAAAAAACTTTCTAGTTGAATACTTTGACTAAAAAATTCTTTGGATATGCTATTCAAATATAGAAATGCGAGGAAAGAATTTATCATTATGCTTCAACTAATATCAGTATGGTTTTGCCAATCTCAGAAATTACAATAAATTAGAGGTTACAATAAATCTGAAGAAGTAGTGTTCAACTAGTATGAAAAATATAGGATTTCTTTTCGTGTACACACAAATTAAGGTATAAACCTGCAGCACATTATTTTTTCATAACATGATGGTCAAGTTGCTTGTGTGTAGCACATTATTGATAGCTGAAAGGACAGAAGCTACACCACACAATAAATTTATTATATGTGTAATTTTGTGCCATTCGTTGGTATATAAAGAAATAAATGACAAACTGTTGCTCTATGTGCCTATTGTCCACTTTCAACGTCAACATATGACTATTATAGTTTTTTATTGCAGGGAAAATATAATATACACAGATGCGATAACATCAAGCTTCTCCCTATCAGTTGGAGGACCCAAAAAAATCTTACTGGCTCTTGAGTCATGATGTTATCAATAATGTTGAGAACCAATTCAATTATACATTGAAAACATAACTCTGTGAACTGATCACATGATTTCTCATGCAGTAGAGATTATGTCCTGACATAGCTATCGCTTATGTGCATTTACAAATGATATTAGTTACCTTCACAATGCCAGTTTCAATCGCATTAAGCTTCTCAGTGATCTTCACTATGTGAGGCCTTTTGTGGCTATCTTCATCCAAACAGCTCAATGCTATCTGAGTGCATGTCTCAACTTGGTGGCAATATGCTTTAATCAAGGAATCACTACTACATGTTGCCTGCAACCTATTCCTCCAGGTTTCTTGAACCTGGTAAATCGTACTGTTATTGTAAACTAACACTGATTTGATGTAAATATTACGTAGTATATATATTATACTCCATCCGCTCTAAATTATAAGTCACTTTGGCTTTTTTGGTACATCCATTTTGCTATGCTTCTATATAATAATATGTCTAGATATATAGCAAAATAGATGAACAGAAAAAAGTCAAAGCGACTTATAGTTTGGAACGGAGGGAGTATTAAACAAAAGGTCTAGTTAATAAGAAATACCATCTCTTACATTATCTATAAACTCATCCGATGCTTCTAAACATTTGGGGTAGCCCATGGGTCCTGACACTATCCTTATCATAACAACACCCAGGCTGAATATGTCAAACTTCCCTGAGATCTCACCTTTGTCGATGTATTCTGGTGGCTGGTACCCACTGCATTGCATCACATGCAATGAATTTTTATTGCACGCATTTTTGTTGTATTAGAGAAAGGATAGGCTTACTTGGTGCATTCAACTTACAGTGTTCCATACGCATTTTCTGTGGTTCGGGTTAGTTCTTTACCAAAGATCCTAGACAAACCAAAATCTGCAATTTTTGGTACCATGTCCTTATCGAGCAAGATATTGTCAGGCTTTATGTCCAGGTGGTAAATAGGTGCTTCCAGCTCCTCGTGAATATACTTTAGACCCTCACAAGTTCCCTTGATTATTTTGAACCGGGTGTGCCAGTCAAGTCCACAAAACTCATCTGCGGTAGTAAATAAAGAAGTTTATTAATCAAATGCAAATAAAAGAAAACATCTTCCAAGACATACCAAAAAAGGATCAGCATACCAGAAAGATGCTTTTGAAGGCTCCCATTGTCCAAATACTCGAAGCAGAGTGCTCTATATGTCTCCTCTAAATATACCTTACTTCCATCAGGCAAATTAAATGGTTTTTTCTCAATTTCGTAACAATAGCCAAGAATCCGTACAATGTTTTGATGCTGAAGTTTCTTGAGATTATCCAACTCTGTTTGAAACTGTTTATCGTCTAGATTAGCATCACACAGCTTCAGCTTCTTCACAGCAACTTCCTCTCCATTTCTAGTCACTCCCTGCCAAATATATGTACATAGTACTCAGTACAAGTCGAGCCCTCTTTGTACATGCTACTTATTATAATATATTTGGCGGATGGAAATTATGTTGTGGCTTTGTTTTGTTTGTTGTCACACAGTATTACCACATCCAAATATGGGATGACGATAAATTTTGTTGTATGCTTATGGCCATTTTATTGTTTGCACCATATTGTTTCAAAGCACTACACAGAGGTTGGTCAGATTTACTGAAAACATTGTTGTTCTAAAAACTAAGCATGCCCAAATCTTACCTTGTAAACCACTCCAAATGCTCCTTCACCAAGTTTCCGCACCTCAGAGAAATCATCTGTAATTTCTCGTAAAAATTGGAATGTTACGTCCTCTAGTTCCATAGTTATGTCCTGTAATTTCGATCAAAGAGCCCTGGATGTGCAACATTTGCTATCTTTAACAAACAGAACAGTAAAACATCTTCCTATTACTAATCAGAGCCCTAATGGAGCCTCTATATTAATTCTCACCAGAGACATGCTAGAAAAAATAAATCCTAGAAATTCTCACAATCATTAGGAACATTTAGCCTTTAATTTGGTTGACTCTAGTCACCATCTCCAATAGTAGTCATTGGATGTATTTTGTTGTATATAAAATTAGTCACCATTGTCATCATGAAAAGTATAAAAAATAACCCCTAAATTTGCATCTAAATTGCCCATACCAGCTGTCATAATGAAAGATGATTCAAAATGACCCCCTAAATTTGTATCTAAATTACCCACCTTTGTCATTATGAATGGTAATTCAAAATAACACCTAAATTTGTATATAAATTAGCCGCCTCTGCCATTATGAATGATGATTCAAAATAGCCCACTAAATTTATATCTAAATTATCCACATCTGTCAATATGACACCTAAAATAACCCCTAATATTTTTACAAGTAACTCACCATGACAATTATGACTGATAATGTAAATTAACCACTTAGTTTCAACTCAAATACACATATATGTCATTATGAAAAATAATATAAAGTAACATGTTTTTAATTTGCATCCAAATTATACACATCAATCGTTACAAAAGATAAAAAATATCTCTCAAGTTTAAATGTAAATACTAATACAAGCGATTCATAAATCATAAAACTTGGCTTAGTTTTCAACTGTTAAAAAGGATAAATCATAAACATTGTAACTAAAGGTCACCAATGAAGTCTCCATGTTAACTCTACTTAGACCTGCTAGAAAAAATGATAAATCTTGTGAATTTTCACAAAAATTAAAATTATCTGGCCATCAATTCGGTAAGCTCTAATCACCACTAATAATGATAACCAATCAATTTACTCTATTTTCTTCTAAATAATAATCCGCCTCAGTGACTGTGCAAAATAACATAAAGTGATACATGAATCAATATTTAAATTAACCACATATACCATTTTAGGAAACATGATCTAAACTGAAGCTAAGTTTACATATAATTATCTCTGAATCACTGAATTCATAGGCATAGGGATGTCCCAGGTAGTGGTTCATTCAGTGAGTAAGAAAATAAATAAAGAGAGAAAACACATAATTTAATATAAGTAATTTATATTAGCGAGATGTGTTAAATAATAATTAATGTTTATGTCTCTTAAGATTCTAACAAGAGTATGGGTTGATGGACTAGTTTATTTATGCTAATACAAAGACCCATACCGATTCAAATTAAAGCTCCTGCAAACACTAGTGGGCACTGGGCAGACCAACCTATGACCAGGTACAGCGTGAGGGTTTGAACATCATGAGGTCATCGCTTGGTGGGGCCTATCACAGCGCAATCACAGTGGTGTGTCTTGGGTTGGAACTACCAAACACAAATAGCTCTGCCGGGCTTCCTGACCGATGAGGAGCCACTCCAACCTGCTCATTGCTTGGAGTAGATGGAGGTTTGGGTGACTTTGGTCAATGTTAGTGGGGGCGCGAGTGCACTAGCTGGGCGTAGCCCCCAAGCCCCTAACCCCGATTTGTAAAACCTATACGGAGGTTAATTCTGTCATGAGTGTATTTAGTACCAGGTTTACGTGACCTTTGTCATCAAGAGCCCTGGGGGAGACGGTGAGGGGTCATTCTTCTTTCCTAACTATTCATTCGACCCAATTGTTGGTATTTCTTGTGTTATTATATTTCTACAAGCGCACAAAAGTATGTTATAGCACTTCACCTAAGAGTATTTCAGGGTATCATATTTTTATCCACAAGAAAAGTGTCACTATGATATTAATAAATATGTGTACTTGAATATATATCACAACTAATATACCAAAGTTCCAACAGGGATAAGATAAATCAAGGGGTAGTGTGACAATCAAAAGCAGAGATCCAACCAAGATAAAAGTAGAAAGCTAAGGTAGTGGGGAGACCAACTAGTGAGCAAGAACAAGATTCCCATGTCCTTCTCTGTTCAAGACTTACTTAGCAAAACATAGGAATATGCCTTTAATGCAACTACATACTAGTGATCACATAGCTCAAGCATACACGGGGACGCATGCACCTTGGCAACACAAAGGCATGAGAAGGGTGCCATGTTGTCTACACTGAACAAAACTACGCTTTAAGAACTTACACATAAGCGGTGGATTGACGAATGATAGGTAGGCCAGTGTCACCACAACGTCTATGAAGAAGAGAGGAGAGGATAGAGGACGGAGAGAAACCAGAGGAAGCAGAGATTTGTTAACACTAACGTGTGGGTTCCACTCATAAATGTGGTGATGTTTCTCAATCTGCTAGAGCCAGGGGCAGATCCAACGGTGGGGCAGAGGGGGCTCGAGCCCTCCTACCCATATCGGAGCAGTGGAACCTCTCTGGAGTCCCCATGAATTTTTAGGCAAAGTTCTATAGTGTAGGTGAGGCTGAGATTTAAGATCGAGCAGCAGTCGGAGGTATGTGTTGTTCAGCCCCCTAAAAAATTTTCTGATCCACCGCTGGCTAGAGCATATCTCCTATACAGTAGTATAATCTAGTATTCTTTGTCCGCTATGCTAGATTTTGGGAGAAAGGTGAAAGAGATCCTATGGAGTTGCTCTTAGTTTGGGATGGATGAAGTCACAAAAAGAGAAATAGTTTGGGATGGATGAAGGCTCTCACTCGAGTGCGAGCACGGCTAAAAGCAGGTCTCTTCTGCAGGGCTGCCGGCTGCCGCACTCAGCACCGGGTGTAAGTGGCATCGCCCACGGGCAACACCGCTATAGGCACGATTCTCACCCTCCTCTGGTTCGGCACAACACTTGCGTTTCAAAATGGCAGAGCATGGCTTTCCTTAAAATGAAGATGCTGATATATTATATTCGAAGCACAGTGCTCATGATTATGGGACAAACAGATTGCAAGATCAAAGGATCCAACTGACGAAACTCACTAGAAAACAGCAATGCAGCACCTTCAGTAGCAGAGGAACGCCCGACGAACTGAGGTCCGGCTGCGCTCAACGGGATCCTTGACGGGACTGCAGAGTGCAGACAGATCGATCGAGATCAGTTAGAAGAGAGACCCAATTAGTAGAACATCTCCGAGTAGTTATTAGGTAGACAGTCGTTCATGTTCTGTCTGGGTCTTTTGATATAAACGCTTATTCTTTGAAAAAGAGGTGGGATTTTTTCATTATCCCAAAAAAAAGTTAATAGGACCCGGTTTGGGAGTTTGGCATTGGACGGGGAAAGCTCTTGATTCGAAGTTCAATTAGTGTAACCGGTTGAACCGCCGGTTAGAAACAGTTTAAAAGAATACGTGGTTTATGCTGTACGCAAAACAGAGTGTAAGAATTGTCCTCTCTAACTTGGTGATCTATTTTTTTTAACTAAAAAAAAATCTTTCTAAATTTACGTCTAAATTACAAATTACCCACGTTTACCAAGTTTCCTCCCCGCACGCGAGAGGACGTGCTGCCAAACAAAGCGTTCACTGTCGTGGCGTGGCCATGGCCATGGGAGCGCGTCGCCGTCTGCATCTATCGTGTGTCGTCTGCTTTCACGAGGACATGCCTAGAGCTCGACGGTGCTCGAATCTTGCGGGGCACCGCAGTCGCGTGTGGAGGCATAGCACACAGCTCGGATGACGTACGGATCGGCTGATCATCTCCGCGTGCGCCTGGATCGGAGATGGCGCTGCCGGGTAATCCGAGCGGCGCATGGTGGATGGAGATAGGGGTGCTATAAGAAGCAGTTTACTATTTCCTTGCAACGTACAAGCATGGACAAGCAAAACAAAAAGGAAAAGTGATATATCTGCTGTTCTATGTACTGCGTGCTTGTTGGATGATGTATCTGCTGTTCTATGTACCAAAGGATGAGAGCTGGAAGGGGATTGAAGCACGTACCGTGGCCCAGAAACACAACACATAACTGCAGGCTCGCCGCGTCCCGCCGTACTCGAATGAAAATCCAAAGGACACGACTGATTACGCGGACGATGAGATAGATCGATCGATCGAGGACAACTATAGAGGGGACGAACAACTTAAAGCTAGGGGCCGGAGCTCGAGACGAAGCAGTTGCCGATATGTGCTCAGATGTTGAAGACTTAAGAGCCCGGTCTTGGTCAGCACAGTCGACGCCACAGCGACGGTGACGGGAGCCCGTCCTAATCTCGAATTCAATAATGGAACGATCTGCTTCTCGGTGGTCAACTAAATCCCCAATTGCCAAAGTCTCCTTCACGGCAACTGCTCATTGGTCAGAAAAAAAAAATGCGATGTTGTCTGGAGAGAGTGTCGGCAGGCACGGGAAAAAAAAAATTGCTGCAAACCCCATACCGATGCCATCCGTGTGGAGATCCCGATGCCCATTCATGGAAGCCGAGCGCCCGACCCCCTTGCCCGAACCGAGCGACGTGCGTGCCGAGGAGAACCTGGCGGCCGTCCGATCTCCACGCGGCAAGCATCGGGATGAGGTCTGCAGGGAGCGTAGGTGCAGCCGGACTGCACCAAATTTTTTTCCATCGGCAGGCCTCTTGTCTATCACCGGCGTTTGACGCCTCCGAGATTTCCTTCCGCAGGATTTTTGTGAAAGGAACTGAATAACATATGGCCATTTTAGATTGTAATCAAACTATATATCATCTGTAGCAAAAATTGCTGTGTTTCTAATGAAATCAGTGGTTTCATTTCCATATACACGAAACATGATGTTGAGTTTCATTCTAAAAAATTACCATTGACTAAAATGTTTAAAAACTGGTGGATGACAAACTTTGAAAGTTACAACATTTTCAAGATATTGATGAGTCATCATCGGTAAAAAGTACTTTGGAATTTAAATAAAGGTGGAGTAATGTCGAGAACAAGGATAACTGTCTCTTACTCTAGTTTCCAGATCTGTAAAAGGGAGGAGGCTAGACCACGTCCTTGTGAACTTGTTTTCGCAGCAATCAATCAAGTAGACCTCTGGTTGTTTGAATCGATCCTCTCCCTTTCTTGTTTGGACTCCGTGCTGTCGGTTTTTGTGATCTCTCTTGTGAAATCTTCATTCTGACCACTTGGAATTGTTTGGGTCTGATTCATACGTGCAATGACATCTCAGGAAGGTCTGTAGCCAACAATTTTGGATGATTCCTCACGAGCATGAAGATCCGAGTTTTCTACTCTTTTTTAGAAACTCTCAATTCTAATGATGGTTTTTAAGATGAGTTTCAATCTGAGGTTTCTGGGTGTTGATCTTTTGTGAAAACCTCCACAACACCTCTAGAAACACTCCTACAAATTTTTGTCTGAATCGAACTTCCTTTGAATTGATTTTGACTTTTGAAACAAATTTCTTGCGGTGCTGTTCTTTCTAACCAGATAGGTCCGGTCGGCACGGGGTTTCTGAGCAGAGTTCTCTGACGGACAGGTCTAGTATTCACACCAGACAGGTCCAGTTTGGTGTAGCAGTTTGTAGTGTTCTCTGTTTTTGAATTGCTTCTGCATCTTCTCCGTTGTATTCTCTGAAGTATCCGGAAGGTATCTGGTTACCAGTTGGCTGGTGTATCTTTAGTTTGGAGTTTTTGTGTTCTGTGAGAGCTTTGGGGTTGAATCAAGACAGAGGCCAGTTTCTCGCTTGAGAAATTTTGATTTGGCTCCCATTCACTAGCTCTCTGGCCGCCTGCTCGGTCCTTCAGTTGATACTAGAGCAGGTTAAGGATCATTCCACCTTAACCGGTTGTGTGATCATGAAGGTGATAATGGAGCGTGCCAATGGTAAGGTCCCATGGTTCAATGGCACAAATTACCCATACTGGAAGATACGTATGTCTGCGTATCTTCAAAGCATCAATTCCCAAGTTTGGGACATTTTTTGTATCAGGACTACTTGGTCTTAGGTGCTCATATTGGTCAAGAGCAGATTGACCAACACGAGGACAACAACAAGCAAGAAATGCTTTGTTTGCAAGTCTTTCGCTTCCCAAGTCTGAGCGTGTTTCTAGCCTCGATATGGCTCATGGGATCTGATCTACTCATGAGAAATATCATGAGGGCTCATCTCATGAGACATATCATCGCGAGTATAAGAACTTCTTGCAATTGCCTGGTGAAATTGTTGATTTGATGTTCAGTCGCTTTCAGTCGATTGTGAACAAGATGAGGGCAAACAAGCCTCAGATACCTTATGACAATAATGAGAGGGCCTTGAAACTCATACATGCCCTAAATCGGAAGGTATGGGAAGTGAAAGTTGTTGCAATAACTGAGTCCACTAACTACAAACTCTCATAGTTGACGAGCTATTCAGCAAGCTCAAGTCCACCAAGATAGACCTACAGTCCATACCCAAACTAGAGAACCCATTCGCACCGACCATGGCTCTTGTGTCTAGTCTAGGTGGTTCTACAACTAACCCCTCACTTATAATGTGTTTTGCCTTTTCATCGTTCATGCCCATCAAAGAGGAGTAGTTTGATGCGCTTAGCGATGAGGAGCTTGCATTGGTCGTCAACAAGTTCAAGCGGTTCCACGACAACCGCAAGAATCGATGGCGTGGACAAACAAAAGGAGGGCTGCTTTGGCTGCAGAGACCCTGACCACTTCATCGCCAACTATCTAAAGCTCAAGGACAAATCAGACCCCGACAAGCACAAGGACATGCGTGTCTACATGGGTAGTACATGTAGCCTTGATCCCCTGGATTACGTGCAGCATAAGCTTTGGCAGCCGTGATGATGGTGTTTACACCAATCAAGAACTGCGTGTCTGCAGATGTGAGACCATACATCCGTCATCGATCCATCTATGCACAAAAAAAGGTGTTACCTGTTTGCTATCATCAAAACTAAAAACTAGAGCCGTGTCGTCATGAACAACACTATCGTACCTAAAAAATTGAATGGTTTACTAGCTATCACATAGATGTGTTCATCAAAATTAAAAATGATAACCCTCTTGATGAACAAATATTCTACTTCAAGGAACATAAAAATGGCATGACTAATTATATAATTAAAAACTGGAGTGGTCAAGAACAACCATCCTTGCTAAAAATTTAATGTGTTCCTAGGTGTCGCATCTATGTGTTCATCAAAATTAAAATTGGTAGCCCTCTTGAAGAATAATTATTCTACTTCATGCCACATAAAAATGGGGAGAACAATTATAGAAAAAAATTGGTGTCTTCATGAACAACAATTGTAGCTAAAAACAATGGGTTATTGCTAGGTGTTACATGGTTGTGTTCATCAAAATTAGAATTGGTAACCCTATTGAAAATTAAAAAACTCTACTCCATGAAAGAACTAAAGCATCACATACTAACAGTTATCAAAACCACCATGTAATTTGCTAGAAATTAAATGGGTTCATAGGAACCAACCTTTTGGAAGGTGGATTCACCATAATTTGAATGCCTTCCTCAAGATCTAATTGAAAAGTGCTCTCTGAAATGGAGTAATAACTAACAACATAAGAATGAAGCAATCTATCCATCAAAGCAATTGAAAAGCTACAATTCATAGGGTGGATGCTTGTTACTAACCTTAAAGCAAGGAGATCATGTCCATCCTTCAAAATCCAAGACCTTCTATATGAGTATTTTCGTGGAAATAGCTGCAAGAATAGAAGAAGACATGGGGCAACACACCTCCTTGGATGAGTGTGCTCAAGATGAGAGGGAGGAGAGATGAGGAAGGAAGGTTTTGTATTGTGCAACTACCACTGCTGACTCAAGCCACAAGCTGACTGTGATAGGCTCTATATCAATGTCGGCTCAAGCCACAAGCTAACAATGACATATCACTGCTGATTGAAGCCACCAGGTGACATTGATAGTCTTAGTATCATTGTTGGTTCATGGCTTAAACTGGTAGTGATATGTCACTGCCGGCTCATGACTTAAACCGCTAGTTACAAGGACCTTCACTATCTGTTTCTTTAGGACCGCTAATCATTTTTGGATTTTCATGTTATGAAGCGGCAGTGAAGGGCTATCATAGCCGGTTTAAGAGCAACCGACAGTGATGTGCCGATAGTGAATGCCAGTTATGTAGTAGTGAGTGTAACTGTTTTTTCACTCAATACATATGTGTGTGTACAGTAAAATCTGTGGAACATATTAGCACATAGGTAGACCAGCTTCCAGTCCTACGTAAATGACCGGTAAACTCGCTAACACAACAAGTCAACTAGAACTGACGGTGAATAAGTAGAACTTGCGGTCTAGGATCCGATGATTGCAGTGGCCACGAACCGATAGTGGCAGAAGTTTGTGTTGGTTTACTATTGAGGGGTTGTTTGGATCTCATTCTCACAATGAGATTCTAGACAATGAATATTGAATCTGGATTCTGGATAAATAAATGAGGGATGTTCGATCTTATTCTGATTATTGACTTTGCACAGTAAAAATCTTCAAATAGTAGATTTGGGGTAGATATTTGGATTATATAATCTCATTCTAGAATCTAAGTATTTGGATCTTATACTCGGTTTTCTATCTCATTCTCATTTTCCTTAGGAGACCCAAATAGGGCCTAAAACAGGCAACTAGATTTTGCTGATTGTTTGAACTACAAACCAGTATTAATATGGAAATAGAGCTGCCTTTAAAGGCTGGAAATAGAGTCGCCTCAAATAAATAGGAGCATTTATAAAGATGGTTGGGAACAAAGGCCGCCTAGAAATGCATTTTTCGCTGAGGTGAAGACCGCCGCCGAGACGGTCGGCTTCTTCCACGCGTGGTCAACCACGGCGTGCCGGCGGCCGTCATGTCGGGGATGCTGGAGGCCCTGCGGACGTTCCATGAGGAACCGGCGGACGTGTCAAGCGTCCCTACTACACGAGGGACATGGGCAGCCGTGTCAGGTACCACAGCAACTTCGACCTGTTCCACTCGCCGGCGGCCACCTGGCGCGACACGCTCTACCTGGATATGGCGCCGACCGGCCCGGCCCCGGAGGAAATCCCGCCGGCGTGCAGGTAATCACTCGTTCACTCCTATCTCGGAAGTCGGACGAGTAGATCCATCCATCATTCGAATCATGCAATTGCAGAGAGGTAGTTTTTGAGTACACGAAGCAGGTCCAGGCGCTGGGTAGTGCGCTGCTGGAGCTGCTGTCCGAGGCCCTGGGCCTCCACCGGAGATAGCTGGAGCACGACGCCGGCTGCGTGGACGGGGTCAGCGTCGTCGGCCACTACTACCCGCCGTGCCCGGAGCCGGAGATAGCTGGAGCACGACGCTTGGCAAGACCAGGCACTCCGACCCGAGCTTCCTGACGGTGCTCCTCCAGGACGGCGTCGGCGGCCTGCAGGTCCTGCTCGGCGGCCGCTGGGTGCGCGTGCCTCCCGTGCCCGGCGCTTTCGTCGTCAACATCGGCGACTTCCTCCAGCTCATGTCCAACGACAAATTCAAGAGCGTGGAGCACCGGGTGGTGGCTGTGGACGCCGGGGCGCCACCGCGAGTCTCCGTGGCATGCTTCTTCAGGCCGCGTGGCGCGGCGGCGTCGACGAGGGTGTACGGACCGATCCCTACGGACACCCTGGGGACGAAGCCTCCGTCACCTCCACGCTACAGGAGCACCACGGCGGTGGAGTTCATTAACCATTATATGGGCAAGGGCCACGTCAGCAAATCTGCACTAAAGCACTTCAGAATATAATCTCACAAGTCACTAGTGTATCCCTATTCCCCGATAAGGCTATGTCCGGCTGCATGAAATTCAATCAATTCCAAAAAAAAAAAAGATTATATTTTCCACACCGGGATTGATGGTAATTTCTAATCACAGCCTTAATCTATATGAACCTATTTGGTTGGATGGCTAACTCCCAAGTCCCAACCAGCCTCCATGAAGCCACCTTCGAGCTAGTTGCCTATTTGGAGCCCGAAGCTAGGCTCTGGGAATGCCACCCACCACCCCTTGGCCTGGCTCCAGAAAAACACAGACAAGGATCGTTCTTTCGGAGCCAGGCTTGGCTAAGCTCGCCCAGGAGTTCGCACGGCTGCTCCTCACTGCTCGCCTCCGTCACCGCTCGGCTGCTCCTCACCGCTTGCCTCTACACGCTCCCGATCATGGCGGGTTCGCCTCTAGCCACCAGAGGGTTCTCTCTCGTCCCGCATCGACCATGGCGGTCGCCTTCCACCTCGTCGTCTGCTCTTCAGCTGCGAGCGAGCAGGCAGAGCAGGCCAAGGATCTTGTTGGGGGGCTGGGCAGGGCGTGCGACCGGTGAGCGGAGGAACTGGCGAGGGGCTCAGGCTCTGCAATTCGAGCGCTAGGCGGCTTGCAGAGGCGGCGCAGCCCCGAGCGGAGCGCCTGCTTGTGTAGCGGGAAAAGAAGCCGGGGCTGAGGAAGAACGGAAGGGGCACCTGACCTTTTCATAATTTTTTATTTATTATGCTTTTGCGACAAGTCAAACAATTCAGATTTATACTTTAAAATTGAAGCACAATTTCTTTTGTCTGTTGATCCATCATTCCTCACTCTCATTTTCTCGCTTGCACTCCTATTGAGGAGTACTGCTTTCACTTCTACTGTGGTTAGCTTGAATCCTTCTTTAACCAGATGTTCTGAACCGAGCAGATCCTGGCACCGAGCAGATCCGAATGGTACGTGCTGATCCCTTCATGTTCTTGTGCTCAGACCTTGCTCTGCTCACGCTTGAGCGGGCACCGGCACGGGCAGGAGCAGCGGCGACTGGAAGCGCCTGATGAGAAGGTGGTGAAGTTCAGTGTTCCACGAATTATCTCAAAGAGGGTAAAATTACCTGTGCAAAGAAAAAGTGACTCTATCCAAAACAAATCAGCCAACTAAATACACCAGGTTTAGATAGTGTGTGCAACAATAAGTCTGGCTTGCTAGGACAGGCTTAGCTAACCCGGCTTATTTTCTAGCTAGGCTAGAAAAAAACCGGAAAACCAAACACACCCTATGTATTCACTTCTTCAGTTAGCAGGGATCATATAATGATGAGTATTGGATACTTACTGACACAGTTATGTAGCATCGTCACATGTAGATGCTTTTTGGGCGCCCAGATCAAGCAGGGCTAACGGCCAAAGCAGAAACATATATCCGTCATTTGCAATTACATGGAAAGCAACTGAACATATGCACTTATGCAGTCTTAACCTTAATAATATAAAACGAAGTGAAAATGCTCCACGTTTTCTGACGGCAACACATAAACAAAGCAGACAAGATGTAGTCTCATATATTTTTTTGAAGGCAACCGACAAGAAATTGTCAGGCATGTCACTAGTATAGTAATGATTTTTAGTGACCATCAAAATCGGTTTCCAGGGACGGTTACAAAAACCTTCACTATGCCATCGATTCTAATGATAGGAGTTTGTAGCATCTGGCATTTAACCATCCCTAGAAAAGCATTTTTAAGGGGCGGTTATGTTAGGAGAGCTGCTCTTGAAAATAGTATTATCAGGGCGTTTGCAATAAGAGAATTGCCTTTGTTAATACACTTTCAGGGCCGATTTCTATAAGTCAACCGTCCCTGTAAACCGATTTTTAGTGGCGGTTGTTGTGCTGCAACCGCCCTTAAAACTTGTTTTTTCCAACGATGGCTCTGGCAAAGCAACTGCTTCTAAAAACACATTTTCAGGGGCTATTGGCTTAATCAAATCGCCACTGAAAATGTATTTACATGTGTAGTTCGGCTCAAACTAAATCGCGCCTGAAATTCAGTTTTAAACTTTTAGAATTTGAAATTCCTGCCATATTTGAAATCACGTTTTCCCACCGAATTTCAGAGCCGAATGCAATTGATTCAAATTAACTTCATATATAGTAGTGAACTAGTTAATTAATACACATGTGATTAACAAAGTATTTGTAGCATAATTTAGTTTACATTACAAACTACTAATTAACATGGTGTTTCATCACAAAAATGAAATGGGTGGATGTTTGATTGCTTCGCGAAGAGTTTTGAACTTGGGATCTATGGCATACTCTCATCCATGATCATAGAAAGCCCTTCACCCTGAGAACCTCCAGCATTAAGACCTTTCCAGAAATCATCTTGAACTTCTTGAATGTCCTTTTGGTCAATTACAGTGGAAGCCAAAAATGTAGGATGCTGCATGAAACAGAAGAGGTAAAATTAGCTAGATTCATATTAATGAACATATGCATATGATACGATTCGACAGATCGGCTTACTTCTTCAGGGTTAGTGTGTAGTAACACCCGTTGGTTCTAAGCTATTGACATACAAAGTAGCCACAATGCACGCTTCCAGGAGGTTGCCTCGCACATTGCAGGTCGGTGACATGAAAAAAACAATACAGTGAAACACATTGTTCTATATAATCAATATGCTCGCTATTTGGGTTAGAAAATGGTCATACCCATGGATGTAGAGAAACGGACACCTTCTACGGCTTCTACGGGTTATGAACTCCACCTTTTTAATGTAATATCTGTAGGCACTATTTTAGTGGTTGTGGTGAACGAAATAATCAGTTTCTCTATAACAACAATTGGAAGCAACAATTAGTCTCGCTAGGATTACTTACATCTGTAACATTGATGAAATTTTTGAACGTTTTTTTTATCTTTTCTCATTGAGTCACAGATCAAAATTGTGCCAAGTTTCACATTGATGCTTGCTAAGATGAAGTGATTGCTGCATTAGTACAAAAATGATAATGGTGTCAACATAAACCAAATTGTATGAAAAATGATACCGGTGTCGGTGGGCCAACGTAAACCAAATAACTTCAAAAATGATAATGGTTGATCATACCCAAAATAGTAGGGGGCGTATGTGTACTGGAATTTCTGATAGCCTAGCATTGCCTCTCCAATATGTACAACTTCTGACCTTGCTTCTTTGTGGGCAGCCTTCCTAATTTTTTTTCTCTCGCCTTGCCCTTGACACCCATGAATGCAGCATGATCATCGTTCCACGTTACAAGTCCAATATGTCATGCCTCGTTAATGAGAGAGCCTGTCTAGTTGAAACTCGTGTGTTTTGAAGGAAACCAGCACACGGGTGCTTTGTGCCAACAAAACACACGAATTCCAGAAACCCAAAAAACCGTGTGTTTTTTTTGGAACCTAACACACGATTTTGGGCAGCCTAGGCAACACAAGAGTCCCAGCAGAGAAAGAAAAAACCATGTGTTTTTTCCTAAAGTAGCACACGAAATCCATCCTAGGAGAAAAATCATGTGTTTTAGGAGGAAGTAGCACACGGATTCTGTTGTATCTGAAATATGTTGTAATTGTCTTCTATTGGAGTTGTAATCTGTGTGAGGAGAACAAACAAGGCCCACAGAGAGGAGATCTATTGTAGTTGTAATTGTGCAAGTGAGCCTAGAAACATGACGACAAAAGGCCCATGTTATCAAGTCCCAGGCCCATCAGCCCAACAACAAAATTCCTATGAAATAAAGCACCTACTTGGGAAAGAAGGAAACCCACACACAACAGATCGGCGGATCTGTTAGTGAGGAAAGAGCTCTGCTCTGCTCACGCAGAGCTGGGAAAAGGGGGAAAATCACCAGATCTAAGGAGGCAGGACTCACCTTAACATCCTCCAAGGTTAGTACACCCCACATCTAAGGATTGCATGTGTTAGATACCTGCAATATGTCCTCATCAAGATTTGATGGTCTCAAACAATCTGTACAAGGAATTTTACCTCATTAGTTTGCAAATCAAGAGACAAAGAGTAGAATGCTAATTAGATTTCCTTTTAGCACAATCTCCTCTAGGTATCTCTACTAAATAACTGGTGGAGGAAGAATTTCTAGAAATAAGTAGTAAATTAGTGCCGGAGGATCCAGCATAGATTACGTGAGATAAGAGCATCATTTAGATAGCTCAATCACACACACACACACAATCAAAATTTCCTTGGCCAATCTCTATAAGGACTTTTGCAGGCACACCACACATATATCTTATGCATCTGCTATATTTTTAGGTAATAATTGACACTATGGATGGGAACTCAGAACCAAACTTTGATCTTACAACACCAGATGGGATCAAAAAGTGGCAAGAAACCTTACAATTAATGTACCAGACTAACCAGGTACTAGTTACTTCAAATAATCATTTACCCATTGCAAGTAGACATATGTCAATAAGTATATATATTCAAATAGATGCAGGCTGGACAGTATGCATTTCCAAATCCTATGCTCACAAATCTATCAGAGATCAATTACAATGATAGCTTCAAACTACATTTTTTTCTCTTACACCTACCTGATTCAGTATGCAGAAGAGCACAAGACAGCTTCAAACTAAGTAGCAAGTAGACCAGAACACCATTTCCTAGGTCATCATCTGTAGAGACTGCAATGACAGCTACTGGCACATCATCTGTAGAGACCACAACAACAGCTCCTAGTCCATCATCTGTAGATACTGCAACAACAGCTCCTAGCCCCTCATCTCTGAAAACCGCTCCTGGAACTGCAAAACAAAACAAGCTAGAGTTAGCAGACCTGACAAAACTTGTTCCAGTATGTGCAAATAAGTAGCTAGACAGGGATTAACATCTTACACAAATGTTAGAGCAGCAAAAACTAAAAATGAAAAACTATCAGCAAGCTAGAGTTAACATGCACACTGCAACACAACCACAAAGACACAACCATGACAAGAGTGCTAGTTCTGAAGGTATAATT